CTTAGCTTCTCCGTGTCAATAAGATAACATTTGAGAATAGATTCGCGTATTCAACAGTGGAAGACAGAGCATATAATCATACTATAGTCAAGTGAAACTGCCACTTTAATTAGATAATAATTATTAAATGCAATTTACACTATGTAAATAGTACTTAATGTCGGTTAATGCAAGTTATTATTTTGATAAATCTTTCGTCACGTAGAGATAAAAGCGTACAAGGTTTTTTTGTGTAGCTTCGTAAACTACGTGTACTTACCGAAGTGTTTAATGAATTTCAGATCTATATCACGTTCTATCTCAATGCGCTGTAAATACAAAATAGACTAAAGTGCAACTGAAAAAAAAAGCTTTTGAAGAAAGAAAAGCTACTACTATTGAAACAATATATAGTAATAATAATAATAATAGGCCTAATAATAGGCCTAATAATAATAATAATAATAATAATAATAATAATAATAATAATAATAATTATTATTATTATTACTATTTGCCAGTTTTTCCAATAGGTCTATTCTACAATGTGACCATTATTTTTGGATGTTTCTTTAAACTCTGATAAACAGATCGGCATTTATATGTATCTAAGGAGTTAAAATAATTGTTTTCTGGTTACTACTGTTTGACTTGTACTGGTGCTGTCAGTAGGTCACAGTTTTTATTACAACTTATTGGCGTTCCATGAAAGAAGCATCATGTACGTTATTATTGTTTACTTTTGCTAAAATAGATTTAAATATGAATAACTGGTTTCAATTTAATTTCAATTTATTTCACTTGTAAATGTATATTAATAACAAGTGGTGTAACTATGAAAGCAAAGCTTGTAAACATGGCACGCAGTCATACAAATAATATTAATAAATAGGAAAACAAAAAAAAAACCAATAATATGAATAGGCCTGACTATATAATTAAATTAATGAGTAGAGTACCTGGAAAATAGGAATTTTAAGTTTTGTTTTGAATGTGTTAACGGTTGTATAGTTCTTAAGATAAGTGGTAACGAGTTCCAGAATGTTCGGCCTGCTAACGAAGAAGTTGAGCGTAGAAGTGGATGGTTGAATTGAGTTGAATAGTTGAACATTCTAGTGAAATGTGTTTATGAAATGTTTATGTTTTTCTTTAAAGTCGGGGAAAATAATTTTAAACATTATTAAACTTTTGTGTTCTTTTAAAATAGTATCGCTGCTTCCAATATTTTGATATTATTTACAATAAAAACCAAAGTAGGCATATAGGATTTGTTCTAAACTGTAGCTTTTCTCTGTATAACGGTTTGCCGTTTTAGCTAGCGTTACCGTACGTTGATTGTCATATAGCTTTCAAAACACATTTGGAACTGATCAATTGATTTCCAATGCGCTTATCAACTTATACTTTGATTGTGGTCATCATTAATTACAAGGACAAAATAATAACAATAATACTAATAATTGCTCAACCAGATAATTGCTTTTAAAAAGATGATGTAACAACAGACTATTAAATCCTGAATATCTTACGAACACAAAACTGATTCAATGTAAGCATTTTTACCTTCAAATGTTTGCCAGATATGAAATATAACAGTGACACAATTATTATAGTTCTTGTAGGTAAGGAAGCTTTAGTGAGTGAGATTTACATAGTAAAATTAAAAAATAAAATTACGAATCCCATTAAAACAAATCGTCATTGTTTGTGCTCATCTTAATAAAGTGGATCTTATCTTATTAAAGACTTAAATGTAAGCAGTCTAAGGCCGCGTGTGAGCAAGAATATCTATATATGCAATATCACGAACAGTCACAGGACAAGCAGTTCTTAGAATGTTACAAATCGAACAAATACAGAATTACAAAAAAAATTACAGCTTTATGTATATAAGATCGCAGAGATGATTTATTTTTGTTTTGTTAAATTGAGTTTTTGTTTTTTTCTCTCGCTTTCATTTGAAACTAATTCCTGTATTTTCGTTTTGTATTTTTGGATGCACCACTCGGAAATGACTCATTATAAAGTGATTACTAATAAATGAACAAATTAATTAACATATAAGACGACTTTATGGTGAGTTGATTGGGGCACCGTAACCTTCATCTCTAATATCGGCGCTGGTTCGAACGGCTCACTCGCCAATGGTTCCGGTGGTGGAACAAGTCTTCTCGGATAAGGACTTTAAAACGTAGGCCCAGTGTACACAATAGGCTCGTGTGCACTTTAAAGAACCAGTACATCATTCGAGAAGAGTAGGGGGTTACCCCGGTGTACTAGTCCATTAAGTCCCCTGTTGTTAAATGGATATGCCACGTAGGACAGTGATGAAGTTCACTTATTGACATATCCTTGGCGCTCGTGCCTAATGAAATTAAATGATTTGTTTCACCACCAGAACAACGGTTGAGCGTGCCACTCGAACCAGAATATTATGGATGTAGGTTACGGCGCCCCTGCCTTAACCACTCGGCCAATCGACTCACCAATAGAAATTAAGCATGGTTTTACAGTATACTGTATTAGGATATATATTATCATTTTCTATAAAATAATTTTTAGAGAAATTTTTATAAAAATAATTTTAAAAGTCTAATATTTTTCGAAAATCTCTATAGAAATATTTTAAATATCTATAGAAACACCTATTATCTTCTTTTGACTTCAGAAATTATAGAAATTCTTAGAAAATCTACAGAATTTCTTTTTATAAAACATTGTTTTTACAGGAAAGGCTAAAGCTCAAAGAGTATTGATCAGGCATGCTGTTTGCAGAAGATGCTGCCTTGACTGCACAGTGTTGATGACTTGCGACCACGGGGAACCACATCAGCTAACCACGGTAACCGGCAGTGCATCAAGGAAGGTGTATTGGGGAGAAGAACCGTAAGAGCTGTGGGATGAAAAAGTATGCCCAGACAACAAAGGTTAACAGCTGCGCTACCGTCAGAAGTAGATTCGTAGACATCGCAGTACATACAAATGGGTAATGCGATGATATTACAGGTACAAGTAATACATTTTTTGCATCAATAGTTCACCCTGAATTCCAACCAACATGTTGATTAGCATTCCTGATGTTAGACAATATTCATATTGAAAAACGAAGATGTATATTATTTGTATTTGTTACACTCTACTAACAGCACCTCTTCCGACCATAGGTAACCTTCATACAACATTTACAACCATTGATTTTTGTTTGTTATACAGAAATTACTGCAAGTAAACGTATCCTCCATTATGCGTAACACCTGTGTTTGTACAAATATGTCGACGAGTCTCTTTTCCGCTGGATAATAATACTACTAGGTTGTATAACTTCTGATTACTTTTAAGTGGCATTCCATGTTTCAAAACCAACATCATATCTCATCGGCATGATGATCAGATCACGTCTTCCTTTAGAATAATAAATACGGAAATCTAATTAATATAGATTTGACTATATTTGCTTTTTTATCTTCGATTTATCAAGTATTATATTATGACGTGGTCAAATTTATAAGAGAATTTCATGGACAGTTGGATAATTTTCTAAAATGAATTTCATTATAGAAATCCCTCGTTCCTTTAATATATAGATTATGTATTGCACGCTCTGAACTTGATCAACCTGGTGTTTTTTTTCTGAGAATAAAAACATACATTATTTTGTAAGGAGAATGGTATGCAATTGATTAGCTATCAGTTTTTTTTAAGCACAGCAGACAGGCCTACAGATAAAAAAAAATAAGTCTTCATTATGCCATTTAAGAAGTGTGTATGTAACAACTAAAGGTCACAAATACTATACAAAAAAAAAAATTCACTATGATGGATGACAGCACCTCAACATTTATTTACCATTTGGTCCACTTTACTCCGTGCTGTGGCCAGTGATGCATCTAGGGGGTGGGGGCTAATTTCCCCACAAAAAGCTCGCTCTTCCCGTACGACACCCACCCACCCCCTCTCATTGGAAATGCTTGAAACAAAGAATCACGCTCAAGTAAAATTACCTCATATCACCTTATTTTGTGTGCTGGCGCCCGAGCCACGATTCCACACCCAAAATCAGCCCCACCACCTCCGACATTTCAAGAATCCTGATACGTTATTGGCTCTGGTGAACACTAATCATTTTGTTTCAAGTAGATTAATGAATTCACTTATAATTAGAAAATATTCGTGTCTCAAAATATTCAGTGCATACACTAACAGCGGATATCGCTTAACGTATCGTATACGGATTGGATTAAGACATTAACGTCCAATCAGAATTAGAATTTAAGAATGGTGTAACAATATCCACTGTCAAAAAAACTGTGCGAAGACGAATATTTTAATAAGATATTTTACTATCTGATTTGGTGAAGAAATTACCTTTTTCAGAAGACAGATCAGAAAGCATTAGGCCTTAATTCAGAAATCCCATTTTACCACAATGCTTCATTTTTAATAATAATAATAATAATAACAATAATAATAATAATAATAATAAATAATAATGATAAATAATAATAATAATTCTTTATTGGTCCTCATTCTAATTGGAAATCGGAAATTTGGGCTGGGCCCCTGAGGACCCAAGACTTAACTACAGCATAACGGACACATACAGATACAAACATCATCTCCAACCCGTCTAACTCTCACAAAAGCGATCAGAATCCAATTGAAACGCTCGTCAGATTTGAACCAGGGTCTTCAACACAAAAAGCGGGAACAATACCTCTCAGCCAATCTCTATAAGTCACTGTAGAGTTTCTGAGCATCGTACGTTTTTAGTGAAAATTTTGTTTCAAGGACACACCCTGGTTTTTTAAACAAATATTTTCAATAAAGAAATGTAAATAAAAATAATAGTCCAGATGTTATCTTTATTTGTTATAAATTTGAAACAATTTTGTAGCAAAAATGTCATTATCAAATATCGTGCTTCCATTGGTCGGATTAGCTCGCCATTGGAGGCGCTTCTGCACACCAGTAAGCTAACATTTGATAACTTACCGTAATATTATTAAGTGATCTGTCTGTAGAGTAGCACAACTGCGGTGTCTCTAATTGCGTATTGATTCGTTCTGAAGATGCGACCTATCAAAATTAATCATTTTGGTAGTAACCTCAGCTCATAATACCTGAATTGATCTTATCTTTCAAATGGTTGTATGAAACTGTATACAGAGTAATTAATTATAAGGACAGTTTACAGTCAAAGTGTCGTCTTGATGACACCTTCCACATCAGATAAATGTAAGTACTTTTGTTGAACGTTTTTGTGCTACATTAGTTTTATTTTTGCTAAACCATTGACAATACAATTTAATCGAATCAACTTTCACCATTGTAGTATTATCATAATCTATCATCAGCATTATCTCCCCATCGTCATTGTTACCATCATCTTCTTCATCAATATTTTCATCATCATCATTATCATTATCAACATCATCATCATAATCATCATCATCATTATCAGGTCTATACGGCTGAAGGTAAGCCGGTCTATGACTGGCGCTGTACATTTAAACTGTGGTGGACGGGAGGATTCGTCCTTAGTTCTATACCCCTCCCAACTTGTAGTTTTTAAGTTTATAGAGTATCGGCTTTACCCAACATAATAATAATTATAATAATAAACCTAATAATAACAATAACAATAATATAGTAGAATAGTATATATATAGGTCTAAAGACTGTACCTCATGAAAATACAGTTGATATATAGTGGTTAATGCAAGTATAAGTTATATATCACAACAGTACAATAATAAATAAATAGGCCTATAACAATAATAATAATAATAATAATAATAATAATAATAATAATAATAATAATAATAAAATAAATATATAAAAACTGTAACTTATGAAGAAAAAAAATACAATTGATGTAAACCACCGTTCCGCAACCTGTGGGTAGTGGAAACATTTAAATGGGGTCGCATAATCTCTTCAGATCGTGAAAAATCTACTTAATACGAACAAGGACAAACAAAATCAAATTACAGAAAACGAAAGTGCAGTTTACATTTGTAATACATTTGTTATCATAGTTTCATGTTAAATATATAGGCCTGCTATCAAAACATTTGTACTTCAGGTATGACAACTTGAAAGTGTTACTTTTGTTCCTTTCATTGTGTTTGGCTGTCAGCTGAAAATTATAACGACAAAACATTTTTCTCTTCAATTTAATGTGTCTATGTCTTCGATAGACCTAACCCATATTTCTGGCAGCAAATCTGTGAATTTGTGTAGGCCTATAGTATAATGTCTGTATATCATTCATTTTAAAAAATCTTATTGAAACATTTGATAACTTACGTACTTTGTTAAATGAGTAATTCAAAGTTATATTTTCATTTTTATGGGTTATAAATTGATTGTGTGGGTGATCTGTGAAGTATATTTTAATCGATTGCCAAGAGAATCAAGTGGGTTCTTCTGATACCCCTCTTGCGTATATAACGACGGACGTGATTTATTGACTCAATTTACTAAAACTAAAAAATAATAAACCGTATTCAATCATTTCACCATGAAATTCAGGTGAGAAATTTGGCTTCCGGTTTGATGGGTCACGTCTGAGTGTTTGACATATTAGGTCGTGGGCTAAAAATGTTAATAATAATAAGGTAAGAACTTATATAGCGCCATTTAAAAAACCGAAGTAATTATCAGTGGCGCTTCATGTTATTGTTGGAATAAGTGCGTTTTGAGTGATTTTTTAAATAAAGCAATTGATGTTGATTTTTTAATGTGAAGTGGTAGTGCGTTCCAGAGTGTGGCTGCAGCAAATGAAAATGATCTGTGTCCGAAGGCCTTGTGTTGGTGCGAGGGACAGAAATAAATTGAGATAAGATGAACGTAGGGAACGGTCAGGCACATATTTGGGAAGAAGTTGATTAATATATGCGGGTTGATTGAGAGTCAGTGACTTATAAGTCAGTAAAACGATTTTACTTGCGGAACGGGGATGAAATCTGTTTAGTGACAGTATAGATTATAAATCACAACAGTACAAAATACAAAGCAAGGAGGCAAAGCATAAGTTAAGTAAACATCAAACGGGGAAAACATGATTATCATTAACGTCAACATCGTTCTAGTTGTATTCGTCATCATAATCATCAATATTTCCATCATTCATTTCACCATGGTACATCCTCAGTAACATCATATTCACGACGTCTCCACAACGACCACCATTTTTTGTCATAAATTCTAGGGCCTACAATTGTTATTATTGGTTTTATTAACAGCATTTATAGTAATATCTGACTCCGTTGTTTGCATGATAGTGAAAGTATTACCTTTCGGAGTCTTGGTTTAAATCTGAGTGCGAGCTTTCGCTGAGATCCGCACCCAGAAGCCCACCTTTAACAGGACACAGCTATCTTCAGTGACCTGCTGTTATACGTGATTGTTCAACCATAGAACGGTCACAGAACCAGTAAGGTAGTTCCCTGAATGCTGCTGATACCAGTGGCAGCGCCAGGATTTCTCCGACGGTGGGGTCCAAGGTCCCCGACGGGGGGGGGGGCTGATGTCCCCGACGAGAAAAAAGTGGGCGTGGTCGGGCGTCGCTAAAAACCTTTCGCAAGTGGTCCAGGGGACGTAGCCCCCCGAAAATATGACAATTTAGGGGTTTCAAAGGCTTATTTTAATCGATTTTAGAGTCTATTAATAGGCCTATGTACATAATACATATATTTTTTAACAATCATCTAGATGTGTATAAGAGACAGCGACAAGGGGGGCTGTAGCCCTACCTAGCGCCCCCCCCCCACACCCTAGCTCTGCCACTGGTGACAACAGCGGAAGCTCGGACTCAGATTTAAACCAATAATCTGAAAGTACCGTAACATTTTCATTATCATTTGTTTTATTGTTACCCAGTTATTATTATTATTGAATCCAAATAAGTTAATCTCCCATTTTTTAATTTTTATTATTTTCATCATTATTATTATTGTTGTTGTTATTATCGTAACCTTCAAAGTCAGCATCTAATAATCATCATAATTAATCACCGTCATCACTATCATCATCATCTTGATCATCGTTGACATCATTATCATTATCACCATCGTCATTATCATTATCACCATTATCATCACCACCATTATTATCATTCTCATCATCATATTTTGAAATTGTCACCGAATTCTAAACTTTGTATTAAGTCGAGCTGACAAGAGACTTAGAACATCATCATAAACATCAATATCTCCAAAATGAGCCTAGGCCAGATTAATCAGCATTCCAATAATAAATAGCTTCACTGTTTGAAATTCTTTACTCCCCAGGATAATTAAAGGCAAATGCCACTAGCATTTTCTGAAAATTAAGTATTTCTCTGATCGAAAATAACAAAAACTCAAAAACCTGGATCCCATTCCGAATGGTTCAATTGGATGAGCATAATTACAGAATACCAAGGTTTGATTTAATTCCTAGGGAGAAAATGTTTAATTCTATCTAGGCCTATCGTTATATTTATCATAATTTATGAATCCATAAATATCGATCCATTAATCATTCTTGCAACATTTCTTTACCCTTGATATTTAACAACTAATTAAAGCTCTCCAGAATACTACTATCTAAACTTGGTATGGATCAGTCCTGATCTCAATTAACCAAAGCCTAGACCTTCAACCTCGCCAAGAAAAATCAGCATTCCGATGATAACTTCACAATTGGAAATTCTTTATTCCCTAGGATAATTAAAGGAAAATTTTACCAATATTTTCTTAAAATTAATTATTTCCTTGATCGAAAATAACAAAAACTCAAAAACCTGCAACCCATTCCAAGTGGTTCAATTGGATGAGCATAATTACAGAATATCCAAGATTTTGGTTCTAATCCTATAGAAATGCTTATTTCTATCTATCTTTGTTAAGCATAATTATTTTTATAAATATCCATCCTTTATAATAATCATTTACTTCTGACAACAATTCTTAATATCAATTAACCAGGAGCCTAGACCTTCAACCCGACCCAGAACAATCACCATTCCGATAATAAATAATCTTTACAATTGAAAATTCCTTATTCCCTAGGATAATTAAAGGAAAATGTCACCGAGCTTTTTAAAAAAAAAATTAAGTTACCTCATTTCTTCGATTTCAATAAAATCTTTTCGCTTAGACCACATCATTCATTACCTCCCAATTATTGATCCTAGTGGTTCAATGGATAGAGAACATTAAGGAATATCGATATTTCGTTTCAAATCTTATGTAGAAAATATTTCATTCGGGTTTAATATTATTGAGCATTATTATTGTCATAGACTAATATCTCTAAGAGATAATAACATCAATCACAACACTCGGAAATATCACAAAACGTATCAATATTTGTGCTAAATTACCGTATAGTATTAGGAAACATCAGAAGCAGGGCCGACCGAAGTGAGTTTTGGACGGATAACATTAAGATTTGGACAGGGATCAATAATTAGGAGCTGATAAATGGTATGGTCTGGGAGAGAACTATATAACGAAGGCTTTATCGTGATTTTATGCAAATGTCACAGAAAACGTTTAATGATAAATTATTATCATCATCTTCTTCCTCATCATTGCTATAGCAGTTTCACTGAATAAACAGTATATTTATTGATGGGACCTGATGACAGTATTGATGTCTCCATATGGATATCAGTATCTACTGAATTATTCTATGACGAAGATATAATTGTGTAATTGTAAATCGTCCTTTCATTTTCGCCAGATGATTGTCTGATATATCAAGTTTTAAATACCAATGTTTCAGTTAATACTGACAAGTGTTTTACTCGACATGTGTCTTGGTTTTAGTTAATTTGGTGCCCGCAGGTCTCAAAAGCTAATATGATCAGAGAAGAATTCACATGTAACTGGAAGCGGTGAGTGACAATACGATAACGATAAAGTTTAAAATGTAATGCTCGATAGTTTTAAGATACCTCGTACCTGCATCACTTGGTGTGTTCATAATAATGTTGTGATGTATTTTATTGTCAATATGCAAATTCGGATGCAATAATCCTTATAAAAATGTCTTGTTATTTGCAGTGTCATTTATGTTAATTTTGTACATTATATTTTTTTAAAACTTTTTTAAAAGTTTTTGTGTTCCGGTTTTTCTTTTTCCACTTTCTATTTTCAAAGTGCCTTAAACACTTCTTTAAGATGGATATGAGCGCTATACAAATTATATTAAATATTATTTATTAATGTCCTTCGTTACAAACA